CTGAATGGGAAAACTAGGGTTCAGATGAGACGGCCACACAGACAACACTCAGACTGTTCTGCACTGTAGAGCTCAGCGGCGTACTGTAAACACACATGTTCACTCATCACCTGATGATTAACGCCAGGGTCACAGGCGTTATCACCAAATGCTCCAGAGGCCTACAATCAGCTTTACTTGGGATTTTTACACAACATTTCACCATCATGACGGAGATGGTCTTGTCTTTATGGTTTGTACTTGTCTAATCACACTGAACAGTTGCCATGTTTATATTTTCATGTTTCTATCACTTGTACTGTCACAGGTCTGCACTTAACACTGGTCACCAACCCACTGAACTGACTGCTGGCGGACTGAAATGCTGTGTATGGGAAGTTCACAGAACTGAGAGGGGGTTTTATAGCTGTATCCATCCAGGGAGCTTCATGAACGAGAGACAGTGAGTGCAGGAAAAAATATGTTAGGAGTGTGCAGGGTAATCTGGGGGCTTTGTAGGAGATTTCAAAAATGAATACATGATTAGACAAAGACTCAGACTGGGATTACTGGATTTACTGTCCAGATTGGAAACCATTACACCATCACACATCACTTTCTTTTTTTGTTTTTGGACACTCTAAAAACTGCCGGGTGAAAATCGGCTCATCTTATTTTGCTGAATGGGTCCTGGGTTATGGGTCAGTCGCAACATACAGGGTTTAATAGGATTAATAGGGCTATGAATGTCGCGACCAAAGAGTGGATTGGAAAGGATAAACAACAAACTAGATTATTTAAGTCTGAATAAAAAGGACTTTGGTGGTTCTTCCACAAACGGCAAATCTTGCAGGCTCATGACTGCGTTGGTGCCTGTTGACAATAAAAAACCAACCCCATAATGTCGAAGGACACTTGATTGACAATCAGTTGAGTTTGGATAACCAAATCTATAATCAGTACATAAAGTGTTTCCTCTCTATTATATCTACCATATTATATCCCCTGCTAAATACTCAGGAACAATGTTTATCTCAAGTAAACAAGCTCTCTGGTGTAACGTTTTACTGACTAAGGCGTAACAAATAGTTGGTGTCAAGGATCTCTTCCACTGTTACTTTACGGGTTAAAAGCTAAAACCGCTTCCCTATGTGAGTGGAAGTCGTCAACACAACCCACTGACATTGACATTGTTATGCAGCATAAGTCATGCTTTCACCATCTTGCCATTTCTTACTTTATTCTGCAGAAGAGACTCAGGGAAGTTCAGGTCGTACGAGAAAAACAGTGAGGCTCCTTCTAATCTCTCTGACTCAGTGGACTGGGTCACATGTTGGGTTAAAAACTATCCAGCTTCCATCCCAACAGCACAAACTCAGCATAAAACAGCCCAGCAGTCTTTAGACAGTATCAGCAACCGCTTTGACTGAGCCTCATTCTCTGCTGTGGGAATGTCAGGCTGTTCAACTACTGCTGCTGCTTTCGTAATTAAAATGCTTTTGTCAACATCAGATTTTCCTTGAGGTTGTCGCTCTGGACGCCTCACCAGTGAGTTTTATTGTTCTCAGTCTCAGATCTGAGGCAGTTAACTTTAAGAAGAAGGCGACTGAAGGTGCTGGTCGTAGCTGAGGCTGACGAGGGTCCTGATCAGTGGATGTGTTCTCTGTGTTGAGAAGTGGACATTTTTGCCAGTGATTCCCAAACTGTGTGTGTGGGATTGTAGAAGCTGAACTAGCTACACGTCTTCCAGTGACGGATGTTCAGTGGGAGGCCAGATTGCCTCACCGTGGGCTCATGATTTATGCTCTTCCTCCTGCTTTCTTATTCATTTACTCTCTGCTCCTTCATCACATCTTCTCTTCCCTCTCACTTTGTAGGCAGTAGCACAAAGACAGGAGGTCATTACTCTTGTACACACACGCACACACAGACATCTATTTCACAGCCAGTATGTGTAAAGATATTTCAGCAGCAACTTGAGGTACATGTTTCTCAGAGACAGTTTCAACCCTTTTATGGCCCATAAAATATATTTCCGGTTGAAATAAACGCTGAAGCATATATATCGCATCTTTAGCAGTTTAAAAACACCACGCAGCTTTTGGAATCGGACCCCAATATGTGTGACGTTATTACTCAGACGCCAAGCAGCACAATAAGACTCACAAATGTAACGAAGCAGAAGGATGTGAAATCACACACCTGAGCTCAAACACTGAAATAACTCCATTTTGCACTGTGTTGAACAGCTCTGATGCAACATATTATACTTTATCTTTAAAAGTTAATTCATTAGTAAATTCAGATAATGGTTGAAAAAAAAAAAGTAGCCCAAGTTATTCAGGACTTTTCTGGATACGTTGCCGTTGTGTTGAGTCCAGTTATTTTTATTTACCACAGTTATTTTTATTTATTTTTAATAGTTGGGGCTCGAAATCTTTTAAGATTTTACCTACTGTATTAATGGTGTGTTCACTACACCATTAATACAATTGGTGAAGTGAACAGCCCTGTTTCTGGACATTAACCATCACAGCCCTGAATGAGTGAAGCTGTTCTAGTCCTACATCTGGAGGTTCCTTCACCGAGATACTTTGTTTTTCCGTCAGTCTCTCGCCTGTGGAGCCAATCAGATGCATGCTACACATGGCACCATCTGTTCCTGTTACTTTCTTGGCAAAGCAAACTTGGAGAACTGCTTCATCTCTGTTTTAGCTGTGAATACTATGTTCTTCCACCCTTATCATGTAGCATGAGACAAAGCTCTAATCCCTGTCCTGAGTCTTTATCCTTAGCTTCAGTTAAGTCTTAGCAGATTTAATAATGGCAGCGTATATTTTTCCCATGTGAGTGTTAATGTTTAGGTTGCTCTTTAGCTGTGGAGAAAGTTGCCCCAGAAGCCGTCAGCGTTCCTAACTTGCCTCAACTTATGTCACTTACCTTCACCTGTAACTAACCTTAAAGCAGCTTCTTTATCGGCAGACTTTTTTTTTCTTTTGCTTAAATTGTTTCCAGCCAAATTGTTTTGTGATTGCTTTTCTTACAAAGATTTTCTGTAAGCACCAGTTATCCATGCAGGCTGCGTATGATTCTTTGTTGTTCCTTTGAGACGATGTGCAATATTATAATATGGAAGAAAAAAAAGGGATGAAAAATAACAATCGGACAGTTGATAATTAGATCGATTGTCTTAAGCAATGACTTAGTAAATCTCAGTTGCTTTTACACCTTATGAAGTGTTCACAAATTGTTCCAAATGTACCTTTTTGCCTTTTTTTGTTGCGTCATTTTTTTTTGTTTTCAAGTCTTTTTTATTCTTATTTTACATCCTCACCCTTGCATTGGAATAAATCCTTGTACAGAAGCAGAGATGGTGTTGAATCACTCACTGAGCCTTGCATAAATATTCATGCTCCCTTAAATTGTTCATATTTTTGGAGCAAAACATTTAAATGTACGCTGTCTGATTGACAAACACAAAGTGGTCCAGAACTGTGAACTGTGGAAGGAAAAGTCAACCTGGCTGTCAACATTATTTGCATATAAAAACCTCAGTCATTTCCTAATCACAATTCACCTTCATGTAATGTTGTATAAATCCAGTTCTTCTGTGTGAGCTTGGGAAAAAACTAACATTGCACATGACAAACTACCCACACTTGGTGGCGCTAGCATCATGCTGTGGAGATGCTTTTCTTGATGAGGGTCAGGGAAGCTACAAAGCTTTTGAGACTGAAGCACAGCAACACGAAACAAGCAGCCAGAGCTATGATGGTGTGGTTCATATCAGGGTCTGCAAACCCTTACGATCCACTGAGCCATTTTATTTCCTTACATCAGGAAAATGACACTCGGTTAGAAATACAAATGTTAGCCGCCCTTTGAATAAAAACACAACCAAAAATGTTTTGATAAATGTTTTCTATCTGATTTTTTGGTTTTGTTTTGTTTTGGAACAGCATTTTATTTTTGGCCATTGAAATAAAGAAAAATATTTGCATAAAGAGGCTGGATAGGTTTTGATATTGGTGTTCAAAAAACATAATTTTCCACCTAATGACAAGAACAACGCATCTCAAAATATTACTGGTACTTTTTATGTTGTCATTCTGTTGAAATTAATTGTAGTTTTCCCATACAAAACTCACCAACTATCACTTATTTTTATATCTATATCTAAAAACGTTAGTTGTTTCTTTATCAGTATAGCCCAAGTTATTTGGGGCTAAAGTGGGAAATCCAAAGAGCCACTTGTGGCTCTGGAGCCACAGGGTTTAGATCGAAGCGTATTAGTATGACAGAATGTCCTAGTCAAATTCCAGCCCTGAATCCAATTGAAATTGTTTTCCTCTCAATGCACACTTATGCACTTTTGTTGTGTCTATGTCATAAAATCCTTTATAAAATACATTCAGGTTTATGACAGCAATCTGATAAAATAGGGGAATGAAAAGCCTGGTAGTAAAGATGCGTTTAAAAAATTCATGAGCCTGATATGGTGAGAGGTGGATTCTGAATGTGTGTTGAAAGAAAACTCAGAACCTCCTAGTTTTAGATTTTACAAGAGGATTTAAGGTTTTGGAAATCAAATGTGTGTTTTAAAATTTAATGAAAAATGTACAAAAATTTATTCCAGTGGTTTTCAAACTCATCTAAGCTTAAATTATCTCAATATATTTATTAATTGATATCTGACCAGTTCAGGTTTGATCAGTTCAAGTAATTCTAAATGTGAAATTTAGCTTAATTTAGCTCTGAATGGGAATCCTTGAATCCGGTGCTAAATACAACATTACAGGCAGGCATCAATGTAAACCCTCAGCTTGTTTGAGGTGCAACGGAGCGACTGCTACCCAAACTTCTCATCCTGAGCTCGTGCTGCCCGCGGACAAAATGCTGCCCTGAGCCGTGAGCCACATTTACCTTATCATCGCAGCTTTAATTAACCAGGTGTGCCTCTCGACGTTTAACAAAACCTTTTTACCTGCAAACGACGAAATATCACCAATCTGAGAAATCCCTTAAGCCTGAGGTACCTCTTTAATTTCATGAGTTCAAAATTACTTTAAATAGTCAAAAATATTGCCAGTCTTCTCATACCTCTAAATACAATGTTAATACCTACACTGAAATACCATAAATTACAAAAACAGGAGAATGAAAAGCATTTTATCCACTACTGTACAAAGGCATTCATTAACAATAGCATTAATATTAAAGTATTTCATCTCTGTCACTCCACTCGACACATACATCAGACAGAAAATAAGTAACATTCCCCCTTTAACATGAGTCTTATTCCAGTGTATTAACCTGTGTAACTAACTACAGAAGGTCTTTTAACTACATAATTATACTGTGCTAATGCTAAATGCAAGTCTGTTGGCATATAATGGAGTTACAACGGTGTCATTACAGTGCAAACAGGGCGCTCAGATAGATATAAGACCAGCAGCACCTTGTCGAGATACAGCTCTGTCAAAAATAAATAAATAAATAAATAAAAACGATTTTGCTGACTTTGGAGGGAGAGAATTCAGAGCTGCTTTTATACAGTAAGAGTATAAAACTTGTAACACGGTGTTATGACATGGTGTTACAGAGAAAAAAAGCTTTCAGCCGTGGGTTAATACACAACAATAAGTCACCGCAGGGTGTTACTGCATTTTGATTTGTCCATCCATTCATTTACAATGCCAGCAAGAGTAAGAAAGTTGTGTTGTACAGTGTTATATTTATATCACCAGTGTTATAACTTTACTTAAAAAAAAAGAAAGAATATAAACTGAGAACGGTTGAATAGTCACCTGTGAGGCGTGACAATCAGTGGCCAGTTTCACTGAGGGTGGAGATTTACAGACATGAGGATGACGCTCTGTAAGCCCTTCGGTTTGCACGACTCGGACCACGCAGGGCTGCCACACAGTAATGCGGTCAGTGGTACACTTTCTGTTGGAGAGGGGGCGTGTCAGCTTAATCATGTTTGACCCTTCAGGACGGGCCCACTGAGTAGAGTACCTGATAGAGTTGGTGTTGTATAGAGCCTGTCTAATATTGCTCAGTGTGTGTGTGTGTGTTTGCGTGGGCGTGAGGGTGTGTGCACCTCTCTAACGACACGTGGCCAAGTACGGATTCAGCTCAACAAATTAGCATGCCACCGAAAGAGACATTTGTTTCATCAAAAAGGTGATGTATTTCAAGCATTTAGTTCTAATTTTGATGATTATGGCTCACAGTTTGTAATAATACAGAATTCTTCAAGAATGTTGTATTGTTATAGAAGACGATGACAGAGAAAAGTTTTTACATTTAAAAGTCTCAGCAAGTACTATCGGGAACCCTTCACAAGGAGAGAAAGACAGTTTGCTGAGGAAGCTGGCTGTTCAGAGCGCTGTATCCAAGAATTCTAAAGAAAAGTTAAGTGGAAGGAAAAAGTTTGGTAGAAAAAGAAGCATAATACATTCTAAATTTGTGCCATGAGCTGGAGCTCGGTGCCACAAGTTTGTGTTTGCTATGAATTGACAACGACAGTTAGCAAGACGTAAATAATGTGCTGTTAAATATGTTCAAGCACTAAATTAACGTCTACATTACTAATCATTATTCTGGTTTAATGAGAGACAAACTATCAGGAGTGGAAGTAAATGCTTCACAATTAAAACTGTTGCTCTGTTTTTGATTTCTGAGCTTCAGGTTGCCGTGGAACTTGAAGCTTTCCCACTCGAGAGACAATCCCACGATCGCACTCAGCAACTTCCGAATTTACTGGTTAAAAATCCAACTTCAGGGGATGTTGCATTTTACACCAGAAAGTTAAACTTTTGAGCACAAAGATAAATCAGCGTGGTAAACAGGAATGAGCTCCAAATTGCAAAGAAAAGTCTATTCAATTATTCATCCAACCGTCTAAATACATTATCAGTGCGCGTGTGTGGGGGAGTCAATGCAGTACACTTGAAATATGGTGCACCACAAAATATTTCATCTGAGTGAAGTTTTAATGTAACTGAAGTTTTAATGTAACTTTGTGCAAATAAATTTGCACAAATTTATTTGCACAAAAATAAGGGTTAAGAAGAAATCCTTAACCAATTACTGAATGCATATTAGATGCTGCATATGGACAAAACTTTCAGTATGCCCACATTTACGTATTTAGATTATTTTTTATTGGTCTGATGTAACATTATAATTTTAACAGAATTTTAAGATTCCTGTTTGCTGTAAGCCATAATAATCAAGGTAACATAAATAAATGCTTAAAAACATAACTCTGTGTAATCAAGCGAGATAATAATGAATTCCAGATTTTACATGTTTTTTTTTTTTTTACTAGTTTAAAATAACTTTTTGTGGATGCAATTTATTTAGATGCATCTATACGAGTGCACACGGTCATATCAAACCTCGGGACACACACGCCACACTGAGTTTGGCAGGAAGACAGGTCATGTCTACTGTGATAGTGGAAGCTGTCTGGATACGAGGATTTCTCATTTCAGCTATAGCACTCAAATTTTTGTGTTGCATGAAAAAAAGGCCATCTGGAAGATTCATTGCTTATCTGTCATATAGGTTTTTGTAATAAGAGCCGGGAGGGAGGGGGGCGTACAGAAGTCCTTCATTTCTGGTAAAAGAAAAATTCATATACATGTATATTTGTCAGACTCCGTTTCCCAGCAGCTTCGTAGATCCAGGCTGGGGGTTGTTCAATGTGGTTACATTCCTCGGCAGCCCGGGCTCAAACATGGGTTCTTCTGTTCAAAACTTCCCTGTACAGTAAGTCACTTTGGATCAAAGCATCTGCTAGTTAGAGGACAACATTTTTTTTTGGAGTGGGGGGGACGAGAAGGACGGGATTTGGCAGCTTTGGCGCAGTTCTTTTATGTCTTAACAGCAATTATTTCCACATGACTTTCAACATTTCCCCTGGAGTGCCGCTTTAAAGAGGAGTGATGTGCAATGTGTGTGTTTGAGTAAATGTTCGGCTCTACGCCGCAGCTCTCCCGTTCAGACAGCAGACGGCGCCGAGGCACAGTTTTGTTTTCGTGTGTGGCATCTCTACAACTGAGCTTGACCGGTTTGACCAAGTGAACGACAGCCAATCAGAAGGCAAGCTGAGGTAGTCCCTGCATCGTGTTCAACTACAGGAGTGCTTGCAGAAGGTAGGAACCTGATGCCTTCAAGGTTAAAATCAGGGATCAGCTGCCCCTTGTGTTTAAACGGTAAGTGTGGGCAGTGCATCGTCTCAGATTTCTGTGGGTGAGGGTACACGAGGAGTCATGGAGGGTGGGATTGGTCTGTGTGCTGGGCTGTAAATAAATCATCATATGGCTCTGTCTGTGAAGGTGGACACCCTCTGTCTCTAGCTGGCTTCCTCTATGAGACGAGCCAAGGTGTCTCTGAGCTCCGTCAGCTCAAAGATCTTGCCGTCTAACAGCTCCAGCAGCGTCCGCAGGCTCTTCCTGAAATTCTCCTGCTCTTCCTGGTTCTCCTCCAGTCGTTGCTCAGCTCCCGCTAGCTGCTCCTCCAGCACCCGACTGCGCAGCTCCGTCTCCTGCAGAAGGAGAAACCGAGTTATCGGTGTGTGTGATGAGGTAGCTGTTTGCTTTTGAAGACGCAGCGCTTCATGAAATAATTTACATCTCTTGAAATTTTCCACATCCAATTGTGTCTGATGTTACAACCAGTAGTCTGAGGTTTTATGTGACCAACTCAAATTAGTACAGACACATTGGTAGAACTGAAGAATCTTTCTTCACAGGTATCCACTAACTTTGTGTTGGTTTATCACACAAAATCCCAGGAAAATATATTATGGTTGCTGTTCTTATTGGACAAAATGTGAAAAAGTTCAACAAGTGTAAAAAGTTTTGCCAGGTGCTGCATGCTTGATACAAAGGGAGGAGAGGTTTACTTCAAGCTTCTGAGTCAGAGTGTCTTTCTGCTCCATGAGGTCGTTCATGTTTTCCAGTTCTTCTTTCAACTTCTCCATTTCCTGAAGGGGCACAAACACGGAATGCGTGATGTATACTGTACCTACATGCTGCATCACTCCTCCCTTCTGTACTCTTGCAGAAACACACCTCTTCTTTATCCCGCAGCGCGTTCTCCAGCTCCTCTATGGTTTGGTTGAGTTCCGTCTTTTGGGATTTGATCACCGGGGTTTGGTTACTCTGGCACTCAAGCTCTGTCACCTGCAGGGATTGAGATGGGTGTTTTTGATTGAGTCACCAAACATTCTGATCTCAGTCTGTCTCCCAGCATGCCTCTTTCTTTATTCCCCCCACCCTCTCATCTGTTTCTGGCTTTCATGTCGACTTCACAGTGTCCCTCCTAAACGAGTGCTCCTATTTGATCAGAGTGATTTAATCACACATGAAAACAAACAGGCTCACCCGTTTGTGTAGTCTCTCTGCCTCCTCTTGGTAGGCAGCCAGTTGCTGTTTCCACTGTTTGACGTTGGCCGTGGATTCCAGCAGGGCCGCCGTCAGCTTGGCGTTGTTCCCCTTCAGCGCCTCCAGCTCGGCCTCCCAGTGTTTTGTCATGGCCGGGCTGGAGAACACACACATGTACAGGCCGTGTTTTCAATAAGGCAACATGAGCTGCTCAGCGGATGCCAGCTGTAAGCATTGCAGGCGATGAAAATAACAGATGCAGAGTTTGAAATTCACTCATTCAAAGTGCAACTCACTTAATATCTGATCTTGCCGGAATTTGCAAAACTTGAACTTTTCAGAGGCTCATCTACTGATTTGTGTATGTAAAAAAGAAAGAAAGAAAGAAAAGAGACTCCAGGACAGATGGAGGCAGCTCATATTCTCAGTTTCACTCCATCCTTTCTCCAACACACACACTGGATATGCTCTCACACTGCAGCATCCCTCTGCTGAGCCACAACACCCACTCTGTGACAGCGTGAAAGACGGAGAAAACCCTGATATCATTCCCACTGAACTCCTCCAGCTCGCCTTCAGTCCTTACGCAACATCCACCCCGCTCTGCAAGCGTGTCTGCGTGTGTGACGCATACGAGGGAGACGACACCTCGTCCTACACATGCACATGCAAAACTGACACTCAGCCGCACGCTCGTTCACACACACACACGCACGCACACACGGTCACACACACGCTCACGCACACGGACGGAGCGGCGCTGTCACCGCTCCCGCCAATGTATAAACCTCACACAGCAGCTCGGAGAGGCAGAGAGCGGGAGAGACGTCAAGATGTGAGGATGGAGACAGACGGAAGGAGCGCAGGGACATCAACGGAGGGAGACAGAGACAGAGGACAAGACCCCGAGACGCTTTATTAAGAGGCTGAAAAGGTTGGAGGGGGTGGGGGTCGCCCGAGACCATTTCTGGCTGAGGACAGAGACACATGGTGGGTAAGTTAGAAGCTGCTATGTTGTTGAACTACCGATTGGAGATGATTGATCATTATATTATTAATAATAATAATAAAATGTGTTTTCTGTTTAATTTTCTGTGTTGCTAAACAAGATTACATATACGATTATGTTTTTTGTTGTTGTTGTTTTGTTTTTTTTTGTTTGTTTGTTTTTTTGCTGCTTTTGTACATTTGTACACAAAGCAAAAATATTTTGTGGACAATTAAAAAAAATAATTCAGGACCAAATTGTGTGATTTTTCTCAGAAGCACAGCAATTTAACACAGTCATAAAAAAAGAAAAAGTTGTGCTTTAAAACTTTTTCTCATTTCTGAATGTAACATGTTGCCGCTTGTACATATTACCGGTATTTAATCAGCTGTAAATAAACTCTTAACTCTTTGTTTTGTGTTTTACTACATAAAAAAACATCTTTGAAAGTTTATTCATTGTGAATAAAAAGACTGAGGAGCAAAGTGTGAATGTGTGACACACACAGAGGCTTTTACCGAGTGTCCTGAGAACAATTCAAGAAAAAAATGTATATATATATATAAATATATATATATAAATAAATAAAACAGCGAGGCACAGCAGTTGCCATGGCAGCAGAGGAGGAACGGCGGAGACGTCGCAGTGATCTCCTTTCACCCAAACCCGCAGCCTGACGCCCACATCCTCCAGCACCAGAGGACCATTCACGTGCAACCCAGGAAATCCAAACCGAAAAGGTCCAATAATATCAATAAAAACCATTCGAAACCACTCCAGCGGAGGATCTGCCAAACGCGCCCACTTCCCGATTTAAGAAACTCGTCTTTCATCCACTTCTCTCCTCATCGGTTCTCTGCTCCCACGCGCACCTGCCCACGCAGAGCGCCGCGCCGCCTGCGTCCCGCAGAGACGAGCGCGCGTCCAACTCCAGATGTGCCAAGACTGCTCCAGATGCCTGGAAGATTGGCAAAAGTGGCGCCGCGAGCACCAGCATTTTGGAGGGTTTGGCTCCGCGTGCAAAGCGACACACACTCAACATTCATTCAATGTTCGTGTCAACAAGTAGAAACACACGTGATCAACCTTCTTGTGTCCAGCTGGTGAATGTAGGAAGATGTGAGTCAGAGAAACAAAAGCAGCATCCACCGTTGCTGCATATCTGTGAAAATGTGAGTGAGGTTTGCTTGTTTCATGCACACTTGCAGAGTCGACCCCGTCTCCCACGCATGCAGCATTAATAGAAACACCAGCGAGGCTGCAGCAGGCAGTGGGTGTCCTCTCCACACATCGCTCTCTCTGCACTGATCTGTGCAGCTTCACATCATGGTAGCCTTCTTCAACAGTAACCATAAATCTGTCTGATAATCTCTGGATGTTGATGTCTCCCTACAGTTATGGTCAGGAGTTTGCAAAAGCCTCACTGTTGCCTTTACTGTCGTAGTATTTCGATTTTGATAAGCATTCAAAGCGTTTGTTCTTCACAGTCAAATGATGATGCAACCAACACCGGACATGAATTTGGTGTTGAATTTTGATGTTATACCTGAGTGTTTCTTTAATCCCCACAAAGTGGCAGGAATACGACCAGGTTCAAAAATATACATACAGTGTGATCAATACTTGTTTACTTGTCCTGAAGTGATCTGCAGGAGCATGAAAAAGCTTCTCCTGTAATTCTGAATATTATTATTTTTTTGACCACTTGTCTTTGTAGAGATAAAGTTCATTACCTCAGACTTTGATAAAGTTTTGCATCATTCAAATTAAATCCTAATTTATCAATTTTAAGACCAAGTTTGATGACTGTCTGTGATCATTGCTCTCTTGGAACACTTGACATTAAGTTTCAACTTACAGAAAATTAAAATGTTCAGGAAAAACCCAGGAACAAACATGGCAAAAAACGTTTGATGAACAGCAAAGGAAGTTTCATTTTAACGTGGCTTGAGGGGCTGCAAACAGTGAAGAAAGGCCAAAATGACACTTTTATGTTCACTCAAATTTGCCCATTTTACTTTTAAAGACCATCTCTCTTATGGAGAAAAATTTCACAGTCAAATGAGTGAAGTTTAGACTTTCAAACTATAGGAGGACTGTATCAACTGCATAGTGGTGGCAGAGTCATGCTGAGGGCTTTATTAGTTGACAGTGATATCCACCATTGCACAAAATAAGTGGAATAAGGATAAGGAAGTAGGATGGCAAACAAATTCTTCAAGTTTTACATAAAATAAAAAGATGGTTGAAACTTAAACACGAACCAATAACCTCAAAAACACAACAAAGTTGGTATTAAATTGGATAAAATAATCTTGCGTTAAGGTTTTCTGCAATGCCCCCAAACTCAGCTGTGCGCAAAGTGGATGAGAACCTTTGACCCACTCAAGAAAACTCAACAATTTAGATAAAATCTGGTTAATTCTGCTTTAGAAGGGTGGTCATATATCAAACCAAAAATTACACCTGAAGTTTGATTAGGGTGAAAAAAAAGTGTGTAGTTTCCCTACACCGTGCTGAAGAACATATGACCTAATATTAGTGAAAATTTATTTGTACATTTGAGTCTGTACGCACAATTTTGACCCTGCGTGGATTAAAGGAAATCCATGAGCAGATCTAAACTCTTCCCTCCCTCAAGTTCTTGTTAAAAATCACTCATGTAGCGTCCTGCAACCCCGAAACAGGGAACTGTTCAAATGTATCATTTGGGACCTAAAATGAATGACATTCATGCCAGTAGTGAGTGTATGCAAACTTTTGACCAAAGCTGTGTTTAAAAACACACTAAGCTTCTTCACTCAAACACCAGAACAACCATATTTTAAGTCAGGAATTGACATCTTTAATTAAAATGAATCTCAGCTACAGTCAACAATAGAAGTGGCACAAAGTTACAGATATTTCACAAAAAGGAAAAGCCTGTGGTGTACATTTCACGACAAAATAAGACTTTACTCTTTTAAACAACTCAAACTGATGCCCCGCCCACTTTCTCTCTCTCTCTCTCTCTCTCTCTCTCTCTCTCTCTCTCTCTCTCTCTCTCTTCACTTTATTTACTTCAGCGATGCGCTGTGCACTGATTCTGGACATTTAGGTATCGGTGACTCACGTACAGCATTTACACATATCAAGTTCCTCTCCGACACACACAATCTGTGTGTCTGTCTTGCTCTTTCCATGCCTCCCACTACCCACATCGTGTTACATAAGTCTTACATAAACACTTCGTCGACACATTTTTGGCGACGAACCCCGCAGCCACACCTTTCTGAGCCATTTTGCACCGCAGTGAAGCCCGAGTGCCATCTTACAGAGACAGGTGCACATCAGCAAAGGTTGGGAGTCACATTTCAGTTTGCAGTTTGCTCACAAGGCTCGGAGGAACGTGTACAGCGGTAATTGTGCATGCATCGGTGTCACAGCGACACCCACTCAGACAGGAGATTTGACTTTGCATTCATGTTATTGCACTGCAGCAGCCGCACATATACGCGAGCGCCTTCGTACCCCTTGAGACTTTTCCATACGGTTTGTCACGTTACGATCGCAACTACCAAAAGTGATGGACCAACACAAGTTTTGTTTTTTTCCTCCAATAAAAACTCAATTAATGGAAGAAGTTCTTGGTTTATAACAGCATGTCAACATTCGGGATTAAATCCAATTTGGAAAACAAGAATGGGCACAAATATTAACCTCTGCACCAAGATACAAAAACACAAATGATGTTTTCACAAATTATTGACCCAGGTAGTTTGAATACAAATGCACACCACACTTTTTAGATTTTTATTTGTAAAAAAACAAAACAATGTCCTTCTACATTAATAAAATACTTTGTTGCAACAAATAACTGCATTATAATGCGATGAATTTTGATTGTAACGTGACAAAATATGAAACCAATCCAAGAGCGTGTATGTGTATTAGCAGGGCTCTGCAGCTATGCATGTGTGTGTGAGGTTCCTCAGAGAGCATGCTCAGATTAGACAAAAAAAAAGGAAAAAGTGGATAATGGTTCTTGAGAAACAATCTAAGTGACATTGCTTGCTGGTTGGAACAATTGAACAGTATGTAAACGCTATAATTCCAGTAGAAAAATGTCTTGTGACTCATTTCATTGCATCCCTCCTTACAGGAGTTTCAGTGTTTTATTCTTACATTTGCGTAATAAATACTCAGTTCATAATGTATTGGAAAACAGCACCCACCCTTCTGCAAACCTAAAGTCAGGCTCTTATTTTAGAAAAACATTACATCTGAAACTGTTGTGATTTTGTGTGTGTGTGTGTGTGTGTGTGTGTGTGTGTGTGTGTGTGTGTGTGTGTGTGTGTGTGTGTGTGTGTGCGTGTGCGTGTGCGTGTGTGTGTGTGTTTAGAGAAGTCACGGTGTCGCAGCAGTCGGGACTATCAGAAAGAGCAGACCCGACAAGTCTTAAGCTGCTCCCTAAAGAGGAAAAACACGAGAAAGCAGCGGTGAATACAGGGGCTTCACTCTTCTGTGCTCACATGGAACGGATATGGAGGTGAACGCAGACACAGAGGAGAGCGACAGGGAGGATCGTTACGTCTGCACCGCAGGTGACGGACAAGCGGACAAAAAACTCACAACCATCATTGCTTGGGTGAAACAATAAAAAAAGTGACCCTGGTGCTAATCTTTTGCCGGTGAGCACTGCGGGATATACCTGTGTGCGAAAGCCAGGGCGTTCTGCGACGGCTCCGGACGGCTGTCCGAGTTGGGAGTCGTGTCGCAAATCTCGTCCGTGCCGTTGATGTTTTCCATGGGGGGAGTCACCGGGGTGAGGGGGGAGGCCAGCTCACCGGCCGGAGACTCCTACAGGTGGGATAGATAACGTTCACAGAGTTATTATCTGCACGACGCCAGCCGAGATTATACTGCATGAGTTCAACTTCGTCCTGCTGGAGCCACAACCTGCTCACACACGAACATCAGTCATTCATTAAGTTCTCATTTCACATCAAATTAACAAGAAATTGAATAAGAATTAGGAGGACAAGTTGAAGTCTGTGGGAAATTTTCTCTTATGTACAAATAAGAGTCAAACTCCAATTAGACACACTGATGTTGTTAAACTTTGATTCAAATATGATTATTTGCTTCTTACAGCTAATTAATAATCAAACAAATGAAACAACTTTAAAAGTGGAAATGTTAATGCTGAAATGTGAGGTCAATGATAATGTTATTTTCTAAAGTTTCTTTTAATCTGATCAACAAGCCTCATGGAGCTGCACACCCACTGCCTCTCTATTATTAGACAAAATGTCTTTTAGCAACTTGCACAGAAAATGTGTGCAATATTTTTAGCCATCAAGAAGCTTCTGGTATAATTTGGTGAGTTTTTTTTTTGATCACTGCTCTCAGGTTGAGCTCTTTAAAGTTCTCGGTTTCCAGGGACAGAATAAACTTTTTCACATGTTAAAAAAAGATTTTTAATAGGATTGAATTTGAATCTGTATGCAATTCAACCAAAACACTTTTGGAAAAAACACGGATGATCAAACCTGTCATTTAAACAAATTTAAACATTTCAATCTTACTGACAAAATAAACTGCACCTCATTTCTCTTGTATCTTTAAAAACAACAACCCCGTTTTGCCCTTGATGCATTCTCAGTCCGGACTTGGAAACAGCAAATCAGCCTACAGCTGAAGGTCCTCTAATCTCATAGAAATTGTGGCGCAACAAATTTAGTCCATCTTAGTGAACAGTTCTACATTCCCACAGGCCATTAAACTAGCTTGCTTTAGTGCAGGGAAATTACAGAAGCACAGATTAATTCTTATCTTTATATCCCATACAAGAACAAAATTATACGAGAGACAAATCATTTAGTTGCTGCACTCATAAAACAAAGCTGTTAGGACTCTGGGCCGGAGCTCAATGCAGCAGGACAATGATACCGAACCGCATGCCTCTGACGGCCAAGAAGGCGGAAAGAGATAAGAGGACGATTATGGCTGGTTTTACATTCCGCGCTCCAAGTTCATTAGCGCTTTATGAAGTATTTGTTTGTGACGTATTTCCACTGGAGCTCGGCCTGTTGGGACCAGTGTGACGGCTTTGGGTCCGTGTCTTCTCTTCCCTCTGTTTTTTTCAGTGAAAAAGTTTCTCCTCCAGCTTTAAGTTGATTTGGAGTGGAGAAAAGAGAAGGATCTGAGTGCCAGCTGGCCCGTGGGTGAAGCTCTGACTCTCAGCGATGGAGAAGCTTAAGCAGACCTCTGCAGGCTCCTATCAGCCAGGCTGCAGCCTTCACAGTTACGGCCTGTCTCTGACTTGCAGCGCTGCTCTGTCGTGTGGCACATGCAGCCCTCAGCTCCCGGCGAGCGTGAAGCTGTCCTCCTTGCCTCATTAAGAGACATGCGAGAAGCAGAGACTGCGGCACAGCGCGGGGCTTTCCACCGAGCCTCCATATTGAAAAGATGCGGCTGTGAAGCCGGGTAATGGTCTTTAGATTAAAACCCAGATTTCTCCAGGGATTTCCTGAAACAAGTGAATTTTCTCTCCTAGAAACGACTGAACATCCCTTGAAATGTGTGGCTGCCACACTTTGTGTGCACACTAAAGCCTTATCTTGGAAATGTCATCTTTTCATCAAAATTTTATTTTGCTTTCCAAGTGAGAAGTCTGGGCATGAAACCATCAGGCTACCATAAAGTCCAAAAAGTTGATAAATGTCAGTGATTTTCTGAGTTTCTAGTCAGGAAAAACACAAGAACGACGCCTGAAGTTGGGTTTCGTACAAGAAAACATCGAAGCGGCATCACATCCCCAAGTTCAGCATCCAATACAGTCTCTGCGCATGTCGTGCACTGGATGCTGTTTGTGTTTTATTAAACCATAAGGTGAGGTAAGGTCACTCTTTTTGGCAGCTGGACAAACTTAATTCAGATGAGAATATAAACTTTAGAGTTTATGATAAACCCAGTTCTAGGGTTTAACATCCAATAGTAAAAGTATCTGGAGGCCAAAGAAGCAGCAAAATAGCTGATTGAGTTTAATAAACAATAAGTCGAATAAAAGTCTAAGTTTTGATGCTTCGACCACCAACTTATAAATCAATATGGAAACAGATATTGATTCATCAAGATCAATTAAAGACTGGAAATTTCAACATTTCCATGCTCAGTTTAATGTGTTCATATTAATCCAGAAATGATAAATGATCAAATCATATTTTAGATTTTGGAAGACTTCAATACTGTGAAGCAAAACCACACATAAATGTGGGAAGCATTTTTTGCTTTTCCAATAATATCATTATCGTTAATATAAAAGAGGAATCAGAACACTTCTCTTACCAATACAAGGCACAATGAATTTTATTGTCCTTTTATATTCAAGCCTTCAGGTTGGAGTGATTGTGTGGAACAAAGTGTGCTGAACTTACTTGAGAGGGAGAGGTGGCCATCTCCATCTTCTCCTGGCTCTTCTCCTTCGCAAGCCGTGCTGCTTCTTTATACTCTGCAAACTTCTCTGCAAACTGGACAAGAAAGACAGCCGTCAATATTGGCTCTAAATCCTACGCTGTGGTTTAATCTGCTTAGCACAGTCGTTCATAAGAGGGAAAAGCTGCTTCCAGTAACAATCAGAGCTGGACCAACACCTTCAACCAGCCTTTGCTCCTGCAACCCTGCCTTCAGCCACATTTCCCTGAAACAAGTTGGATGATGTTGATCTCTGGTTATTTTCGTCCCGTCATGTCCAGTCGATCCAAAGCGGAAAGGCAACCTCAGCTGAGGCGCTTTAAGCAAATATTAACACCGTGTTTCACAGACACGTCCCTGGCTTATCATAAGGGTGAGGTTCATCACACACACGGCTCCTGCTGAGTAATTTAGTGTAAATACAGTAGCAAGCTGAGTGCTGAGGAGGAAATTCAAGACTCCTCTCCAGCCGGTCCTTTTGTCGGCCATTAGTCCGGTTACAAAAACTAACCTGATATCATTTCACTTTGGTGTAACATAAGAGTTGTGCTGCAGTGATCTAAATGCAGTGGTTCTCGGTTTAAGTGCTCCAGAGTCGTTCTCACAACAGACACCTGAGAACAAAAGCCTCTCCCTAAAACTTTGATTCAGAGGAAATGCTTCCTAATTGGCGTCCAGACTGTACTGACCAATTCCTGGCCACTGTTTTTCACTCCAATCCTCCACTTTTGTCAGAGTCTGGCCCAGGTCACATCTTTTTACAATGATTTGTATTTGTCTATTCTTCTTTCATGTGATGAACAAAGCTTATAATAGAACTTTAGCTGGATTTTTTCTCTCTATCTAATATAACAGAGAACAAAGAAAATAGGAGAGCAAATCACATTTGCACGAGGTCACAGCAAGGTTTAATAGCTTTCCTTTGGAAAAAGGTTCTTTTTACAGCCAATAATTTTAACAACTGTGTGTTTTCTAACAAGAGTTACATCCAACAAGGATAGCTGAGACTTTTTGTCCGATATATTAATATATATGTGTGTATATATATATATATATATATATATATATATATATATATATATAATATATATATATATATATATATATATTATATATATATATATATATATATATATATATATATATATATATATATATATATATATATATGTGTGTGTGTGTGTGTGTGTGTGTGTGTATATATATATATATATATATATATATATATATATATATATATATATAATATATATATATATATATATATATATATATATATATATATATATATATATATATATATATATATATTTGTCTGGAAATGTTTAAACATACTCCTTCATTATGTGTTTCACACTGGAAGATAATTGGTGACGCGCTGCCTCCAAATTGTTACAAGTTTAATGTAACAATAGTGTAATGCTTCAAAAAATACCTCTTGCATAAAACCATGTGACATTTTTGACTTGAGAGTCCACTTTGACATTGGTCCCACCTTGGATTAGCTCTTTCAGCCTCCAGGTGCAACAAATCTGGATTTATATGCACAAAAACTCATTACGCCCTAATAGCTTTTACAGAGTCTGCTCTAATTTTACCAAAAATTGTGGAAAACCTTTCTGCTCTCCCAAGATTTGTTTCCTCTCACTTTTTGTAGATAAAGATGAGATTTTATCACTTTTTTCCACTAATTAACGCCCCATTCGGCCAAACTGAAGAAGGAGCTCTATTTTTGCTCAACAAAAAAATTCTCCTGACTTTTACTCATACTTAAAGCATTCCCACAGCACGTTCTACCTCCCCCCACCATGATGCTTCATCCCACAGGGACGACGAATTCAGAGCGCATGCAACACCTTAGGATGCTGCAAACAGCTACTGGAGTAGAATAGGGCATCTGATTTAATAACATCCATTTCCTTCATTCCCAGTAGCTAATGGATTTCACAGGAAATGCCTTTAATGAGCTTAAGCTTACTGCTGAGTGGTGGTGTTGCATAACTATTTTACCAGTCTAGATGTATGCGGAAAACTTCCCCCGCTGGGAAGCTGCAGCACAAAGTAGTGGAAGCACTTTGAGAACGTGAGGTGTGTTGACACAACGCAATCTCTCAGGCAGCGAAGATAATCAACCCGTCCGGCAACAAAAGCGTAGAAGCAACAGATTCCACGTGGCTTGTCGTGTTTGTGGAAGGGTTTGTTTGAGCGCTGGTACCTTTGACAGATGATGCTCGGTGGAGAAACCCAGTCCGTAGACGGTGTTCGCTCGACTGTCCGCCCACTGACCAAACTTCTGTGACGTCTTTGTGAACGTCATGTTCGGACTGATGGTGCTGTTGATTATTGCCTGCAATAAAGAAAAAAAAACCCATCAAATTTAATGAGCAGTATATATTGCGATAAACCCATTTATGATACATGTATTCATCAGACATCTAGCTCTTCACAAAGTTAGTTTTGTCTTCTAGACCCTGGTGTACATAGAAATTATGTTGCTAAAACGTTTCTTCACATTCTTTATAGAAGAAATGCTGAATATATGGAAAAAAAAACTCTATCTTATTGATTATGGAATATGCATGAGAGAGAAAGCCTAATTTATCCAATATGATACAAAAGATAACTAAGTAAGCAGGGAATGCTTTTTTTATGTAACAAAAGTAAAATAAATAGGTCCCAAAAAATAACCTGAAATATTAAATAAGCACCAAAATAATTAAGACATTTTCTTTTTCATTGTTGTTAAATTTCTTATTTTTGTTAAATTGATGTTAAACAATCTACTTTTCCAACAAACAAGCCAATTATATTTTTTTTACCTGACAATAACCTCTTGAATCAGCTTGGAAAGATCACAGATGTTCTTGTCAGAAGATTATTGGTCATCCAGTGGGCAGTAATTTTAGGAAATAAAACCAGTCAGCGGTTTCAGATGAAAATTTGTAACAATTTTTTTTTCCAACATACCAGATTTTAGTAGCAGCTTTAAATTGTTTGCTGTCATTTTATAAGCTGATTATTTGCACTTACCGTGTTACTTTCTATTATGGGCAATTTGAAGTATTTTGTGACTCTATTGAGATGACGATAAAAGTGACAACAATCTCTGTCCGCCGCTTCTTTATTTTTGCATTGAGCAAGCAAATTATTGTGAAGTACCAAACAGGTTTAATCAGTTCAATTGTAAAAATTGAAACAGAAAAATCCAGACTGATGCGCAACGATGTTCTTCTTCAGGAGAAACGTGTTAAAAACTGAATCCAGTTTTAGTTCAACCAAAAAGAGAAACGTAATGCAGCTTTACTCAGAAATGTGGTTTACTTCTAATTCCTGGTTAATTATGCCACCTTTACAGAACATTACTAATAAAGACAAGAACTGGCTGCCTTATCGGCAGGGTTATGTAATAGACGGCGTTCCTGTTGGCGTCGAGAAGTGAATTTGAAACGGATAGCAGCAAGCCAAGGCGTTTTTCACACAACTTAGAGGTCCAGTATTTTCTCACCAATATGAGATGATAGTTAAGCTTGAATCTCAAAACATATCTGCAAAAATCAGTGGCAGAAGACGAAATGGAGGAGGAAACACAAAAGAATTCAATGCAGCATTTTAAAAAAGCGAACAGACAAAAGAAGCAATTCAGAAAATTTCAGAAAAAATGCCAACAGAAACGAGGAAAATTTGTTTGCGCTAACCCACAAAAATTCAGAGAAAACTGTGTTGTCTTCTTATAAAAAGTTTTCAGGCTTTCTGAAATGTTGTGTTTGGGCCCTCTATGATCAGAACAATCGCATTTTTGGATCATGTTGTCCACCTGGCCCCCTGCCAGTTTCTTCACTCTCTTTCTTGTCTGCTTCCAGTAAACCCTGCTACCTAAATAAAACCCAGCAGGACCGAGTTCCTACCTCTCAGATCCTCGAATCGCGATCTACTCTAGACTTTCGAGCTCAGACAAAGAAACCGACAGAATGAATCATGAGCCCACTGGCCCCGGAACGTCCTGCAAACCTGCGCTCTTTTATGAAGCGTCTCTGCGTTACTGTTTATCGCAGGGATTATTAACGGAGTTATTTACACTGGACATCAACCAAGACACGCTGACGGTATCCGGTAATGATGTGAGGCGTCGGCCCACCTTGGTTCCGTCCAGGCTGATGATCCGGTAGACATTGCGCGTGCTGTCATAGAAGTAGGACACAGTGACGGCGTGCTTGCTTGCGGGGAGCCAGTTCTTCTTGGTGTTGGGGTCGATCTGGAAGACGTGGGCCCTCGTGCTGTAGATGGGCTGCTCCCTGAAGGGGACAAAGAAGAAGTGGTGAACCTCTTTGTGCCTCAGCACCAGGGTCTCGCCTAACCCACCGGAACCCCCGCTGCCCAGTGGGGACTCGGATCGGCCAGGGAGCCTGATCACCAGCTCGCCGTCCTCCATGGCTACACCTCAGACAGTGATCCCTGCTCTCATTGTTTGGCTCCTAACTTATACAAGATTCACTTTTAAATCGCACTTATTCTCGTAAGATAAAGAACCTGTACTGTGAATGCAGCAGAACCCCCCGCCCTGTCTCTCTTTCTGTCTGTCTGCGTTTCTCTGTTTCAGGCAGCGCCGTCTCTGTGCTCAGATATGGGAATGCCTGCAGCTCTAAGTGAGGGTCACACAGGGGAACTCGGAGGGTGTCAAGCTAAATATAGACAGTAGGCCAATGGTAACTACAGTAGACACACCCCACAGAGCTGCAGTTTCCACATATACACATCGTGCATGAACAGCCGCAAACTTTTCCACGGTTTGCAAATGCAAATGTGATTGATTAGGGTTTCAGGTGGCAGAAGCGTGATCAGTATCACTGAACTGCACACAGTGATACTAATCACGTCTTCAAATTTATTCGTGTTTATTGATACTCATTGATCAAAATGGCAAAAAGAGCAATTTTGACAATATGGACAGATTTGGAGGATTTGAAACATCATTAATTGTGATTTATTGTAATAAAAGAAAAATCAAAGTTCTAATTGTGATGAGATATTTATCATCATGAATGATAAATGCTCACCCCTAACTAACTCAGAAGTCACCAAACGGATGAAGAGCTTCCATGCCCGTTATCGATTCCCAATGGAAATCCAGATGTTCAGTGAAGACTTCAGGTTGTTGTTGTTGTTTTGGTTTTTTTTACAGATTATTAGTGAACAAACAGCATCATGAGGATCAGAGGCAGCCCTCGTCTGTTTGCCACTCTGGGTGAACAATCCAAAGCAGGAAGCTGCAAAAAATTTGAGACACCATCCAGTAGGACGTCAACCTTGAACATCCAGTCTGGGCTGCAATGGAAAGCTTTAAATCAAGGGTGTGCAATGGCAGCTGGCAAGAAGAGTTTTATTCTGGGTTCAACACTCTGTGGTGAAGAAACTGTTAAATTCCTCCTCGGTTCCCAGGCAAGGTTAACAGAACTGATGATCTGGTTGTTTGGTTCAGGTGTGCTGGAGTTGCAACGCGTCATGAAGCTGCAGGACGCCGTCATAAGGACCTGCGGTTTTGATCGATCACTCCACATCTTTATCCAGTTTAAGATTGGGATTAATCCAGGGAGAACTTCAACATTTATGTTCACCGACACGCTGAACAGAGTCTGTGCGTTTCACAAATTACAATAAACGTGTATAAAACTGGCAGAGACACCCAAATGAGCAGGTGCCCTGAAATATTAAGAAGTGGGTATACGAAGGGAAGCTGAACGCAAATGCATGCTGCACTTTTAAGATTTTGAAAAGCATAAATCATTTTTCATCAATTTCATATATGCACTTCTTTATGTGTATCTGTCACCTGAAATTCCAATTAAATACAACATGTGGAAAAAATTGCTTTAGCAAAGGATCTGTATTACATGACTGCACGAGAGCTGGAGACTTGCCTTGGTGTGTGTGTGTGTGTGGCTGTCGCTGCGCCCTAACAGGACGAGTCATCCCCTGACCTTGCGCTCATCAATCTGCTCGCTTTGCTCTTCCTGTGTTGCTGCATCGTTGGGCCTTTTCTTGGGCAAACATCTACAGTCGCTACACACACTCGGGGCGCGGGGTGCCGAGGGAGATATTCTGGGCTGGCAGCGCTGGCAGAACGCGAGATAGAGAAGTGCTTACACTGCACTGCACTGTGTGTGTGTGTGTGTGTGGGGGGGGTGTGTGTGTGTGTGTGTGTGTGTGTGTGTGTGTAGGGGCGGCATCAAAGGCTGGCCGTATCAATGAATATTAAAATTCAGCGCCCCTCCTGCCTGTGATTAGCCGAGACACACAGAGAGAGAGAGACGAGGGGGACAGAGGAGACAGGGACACCGAGAGGCGTGTTGGACAGGGAGACAAAGAGAAGATGATTGGGAAGAGAGTGAATCTGGGATGATTAATGCCGCTCCACAAAGCTGCACGAATTATCATAATCATCAACAGCAGTGTAAAGTGGCAGTACTGTGAGTCATTTCAGCTCTCTCTCTCTCTCTTTTTCTCTCTCTCTCCCTCTCTCTTTCTCTTTCTGTTTCTCTCCCTCTCTTTCTCTCTCTCCCCCCCCCTCTCTTTTTTTTTAACCATTTGATTGCATAATTTGGACAGAGCCGAGGCACTGTTCTTCTTTTCTTTTCTCTCTCTTGCGGTTCTTGTGACCGCGGCAGTGTTGCTGTTCTGCGTGTTCAGGCCTGAGCCAAGCGGGTTTTGTTTGGAAACGCCGCCCACCGGCTGTCAAAGAAGCAATAATTACTCCCACAACGCAACTCTGAGGAGAGGAGCGAGGGAAACAAACGGAGGACTGAATTGCGCCGCCGTCTTTCGTTTCCCCCAGAAAGAGTCCTGATAAAAAATAAAAAATAAAAATAAATAAAAACGTGTCTGCCGAGGGCCCGGCGCGGCACAGCGGGTTGTTCACCAACCGGTCTTTTTCCAAGCTCTATTAAAAAAAAATAATAATAATAAAAAAAAAAGTTTAAGCTTATCAGCTCGTGACGGGAGAGAAAGTGCCCGGTCACCTCTTTCTCCTTTAACAGAGTGAAGGAAAGAACGAGGGAGGGAGAAAAAAGAGAGGACGAAGAGGAGGATGAGGAGGAGGATGAGGAGGAAGAGTGTTTTGGCGAGTGCAGCAACACAACACAAGGGCAGCTGAGAGTGGAGATAAAGGAGGGAAAGATGGACGACGTGAGAAAAGAAGAGAGAGAGAGAAATGAGGGAAGTGTGGAGGAGGTGATGAATGTAGGAGAAGAAGCTGGACTGATGAAGAGTCCTCCCATCTCCTGAGAGGAGAAAAAGAGGCAGTGGGAAGCTTTAACCGGCAACTCTTGTGTGGAGACAGAAATGATGGGGAACTTTGAGGAAATGCAAAGTGAGAGCCTTAAGAAGGTTGTTGGGAGTTATGTGTTGTCCATCTCTCCTAGAGATGGAGGAAACCAGGCCGTCTTCAGCAGGACGTTCTCAGTCCGGTTGTCTTGGCCTCTCTGACCTCCTCGCTGGGAGGCTACAAAATCCTTTCAGCTGCTTTTAGCGATTTTGTTCTTAATTATAGGAGAGAATAGGTGTATAATTTTATTTAAAAGTAATCCATAACTTCATTTTTTGATTGTGATGTTCTCTTGGAAATTAGATGCTTATTAAAAGTTTCCATACGTTATTTTTCTTTGTCACTGAGTAAATATAGCTACCTACTGAAGATTGTTTTGTTTTTTTTATTTCTAAAAGTTGTGATGCCATATTGCTGCAATAAAAGATTGATTTGTCCTAAAGATCCTTTCGCTTCTGTAACAGAAGAGCCAACCTGAACGACTCCTAGGTGTGTTCTGTTAAATGATGATGATGGTAATAATTAGCAGACGGCTGTGCAAACACGCAAAACAACTTGCACACATCAGCATGTGTTGATAATGTTGGTGGTTCTTCACTGCGTAGTTGGTTTGTCATGAGCTGCAGTTAAAAACAAACATCTTTTTTGTTATGTAAACCAGCATATTTAACCACAAAGATGCTGGAATCTCCCATATTTAATTTGATTGTATTATTTTCAGAAGGTTTTTGTCGTCATGCCTTTTTACACTGACTGAGGTTCGGATCTCTGTGTGGAATGAACGAACTCTTCTGAAATATGCTGTCATGTTTGGACCCCTGATCAAATCAGACCTCTTGCTGGCGAATGTGATTTTTTTTTTGAGGCATAAAATTATTGCCTATCGTGCAACGTGAGCAGTCAACAGAATATTTTTTGAACTCATTGCTTGGCATCTGGTTTCTGCTGTGAACTGATATATTATTTTACTACGATCCACCATCCGGCTGCAAACTGTTTCTGTTCAAACCCAGGAAATCAGGACCAAAACAACCAAATCTACAAAATGATCAGTTATTTCCTTGCTTGAAGCCTGCATGCAAACAGTATTATCTAAAAAAAAATACATCCCACAAAAATCCCAGGGTTTTACATATTTTGTATGTGTCTCAGCTGTCTCTAATGTTCTTTATTGAGTTTTCCCACAAAGTTGTCATGTTTGGATCATATTTGTTCAATAAACTATTAATTGGTAGAGTTTGTGTGTTGTTTTTCCTCCCCCATGAGATAGACTTTAGACTTCATTATTGTCCATTAAACTTACATAAAATGGAAAATTTGCATTGGTAATGGCACAAAAATGCACAACACAAACACACATCAGATTAGATTTAAATCAATTTGAGAACTTGATAAGGACTTGATCTGAGATCTAAACTGATCCACCAAAATCTGGCGTGAATAGAAATAAGAAAATATCTATTTTTAAAAGTAGCCATGTCCAGGTATCCACTGTAAATATTTAGAGAGGGGGAAAAAAAATATTCTGCCTTTTATTTTCAGAAATATATATTTTGTAAAAAGTTTTTTTTTTTTTTCACGAAGCAAATTCAATAACCTGAAAGTGTGAAAAGTGAGTTATTTTTTCTCGTGATGTCAGAAAGTGCAGCTGTTTCTGCCATTTTCAGTGATGAGCAGATGCAATACGGCGACAGTAAAAGAGGTGACATAAGCTTTCCCTCTTTCACCTTTGCCACAGAGATACAGACTTAAAATCTCTCGATGAGTTGAATCCTCATCTTACAGCTTCACTTCACATCTAAATGACTTATGCAAGGGCAGGTCCGGCCTGACGCGTTATCGACCAGTCACAATGAGACCCACGCTTAAATTTACATCCTTGGAATGGAGTTCTTCATGAAGAGACGCGAGCATGTGGATGAAAGGTCTGAGCAAACTCCACGGTTTGAAACCAGATTCCTAATGCTTCAATTGCACACACACAGTTGAAAAACGCACACACGTGCAGCTCTAGAGATGACAACAGGTGCTGCCTGTGGTACCTATTGTGCATCAGGGGTTTGATGCGCAGATGTGACTCACAGCATGAAACCAAACAGATTGCACACACATGGCTCCTGTTGTACCTCAGAATGCTGTGATTTATTTCTCCCTCAGTGTGTCCTCTTTCATCATCCAGCTGGCCCTCCTTTCCAACAAATTTCAACACGAAACATTTACTTAACTCTCACTTTCCTCTTTACCTTCTTCTCCTTCCCTCGCCACTATAGCTGCCCTTGTTACCACGTATGTCCAAAGTTTTAATAAAGTAGTTCGGACTTCAAAGTTATTGAGGAGATGCTTCTTCACCGGCGGGGAATGGCCGGCTTACCGCTTTGTGATCTGAGTGCATTTGCAAACAGAAGTGTTGATAGGGATCACCTCCGCATGTCCTGCACCGCGGTTTTCCTCTCTGCCATTATCAGAGCTCCAACAGGCTTCGTATTGAGCCACGGGTCTGGAAGTGAAATATGACTCTATCTGCCTTTATTACCAGCCAGGCAGACAGAGAACTGAGCCGCAGCCATGTGTGTTAATCTAATCTGCTCCTCTGCATATGTGCAGTGCTTTGCTGAAGTTTTTCAACCCAACTTTTTCACATTTTCTCAAGCTAGAAAACTCACCCTTCGACGTACTCCTTTGTGTGACAGGACATTTTCAAATATGGAAAAGTTGAATGATTTGCAAGTTACTGTAGGACTAAAACACACAAGCTGGTGGCAGCGTAGGGCCTGGATCGCAGTTAACAATACATTCCACTGTGGATCAATTGAGTCATTGAGTCTGTTGCATAACAGCAAGTTAGTCACCAACATGGCAGGGCCCAGTGGAGAGCTGGAGCTGAGTGAGACACGGCTGAACGATGGGCTGCCCACACCGTAGGAGGACAGCGTGGGCGACCGGGGTCGGTGGGGAGGGGGTTGGAGGGGGGGATAGCTCTCCAGTGTATTGTAAATAGTTAATGCAGGAGTTTTGGCTGACATCTAGAAATCGCTCTGTGGCCGTGCCACATTATTATTAACCTCCTGCTGTGTAATTAATCACAGTGAAGAGCAAGAGACAGCTGTTAATGAACGGCAGGCTGAGCGGAGGAAACGGACCGCTGAGCTCGGGGTTAGGGGGACATGCAAATGAGCAGGTCTCTGTGCGCTCCCAGTGTGTGAGGCTCACGGCTGATTCACTTATGGGTGCCTGTGGTTTGGGGGAGGTGGAGGGGCTGCTTTGCGGGGGGGGGGGGGGATGCGCAGCGGCCGCCTGTGCTGCCATAGAGACAGAAAGCGGCTTTCTGTCAGCGCAGAGTTGCAGCTCAGGAGCTTCAGCTGACATTCCTCTGCTGCTGACATTGTGCTCTTCTCCACACAGACGAGCAGAATAAGGAACAGGATGTACAGCTTGCATCTGAACCATCTCTGAGTGAGAACAGAACAGAGCAAGGATGCCGGTACGGAGACGTGCGCACGGTTACATAACAGTGTAGGAATAATTGTGCATCACTCCAGTTTCCAAGCGGATATGCAGAATTAAAGCTGCCAGCCGGAGCTTTTTCAAAGATCAATCAAACCTGCTTTAGATACAGCTTGTCGCCCATTTTTTCTGTTTCTTTTGCTATTTTTCTGTACACTGATAGTTAATCAAGGTAAAATTGATCCTCTCAGATCTGGCATCGGAGTCACATGACTCTGATGACATCACATAAGGCAACGCTTCACAATCCTTTTGAGAACATCAACTTGTATCTTTTTTTTTCTGTCTCTTCGTTTTTACATTTTGATCAGCTTCCTCTTTCAAAGATGTTCACTTGTCGTGTTCTGTTGCAGAAAAACATTGAACTCAGATCTGAGAACATCTTCCAACAGTGAAATCGTTTGAGAGGAGGACGAGGCCGAACCAGAACAGCCAGATCATATTATCAAAGATCTCCATTTTGAACCAGGTTGTGATCAGAACAAAAAGCTTTGCGGGGATTCCTTTCATTAACCCTTCATAGCAGAAGTGCTGCGTCACTTCCGGTGATGTCACTGACTGACCCGTAATCTACAAAAAAAAAAAGAAAAAAAAGCAAAACTTTGCTTATTTTCAGTCAATTTTTGTTTTATAAAATCTTTCAGTGGATTCATTTATTTTTTGAATCTTTCTTGTGTTTTGTTGTTTTTGTATGCCTGTCACCATGGATGAGTGAAGGGGAAGAAACACCAGAAATCATTTTTTACAGAGCTATGAGAAAGAATGAACCGCTTCATTTTTATGAGGATCTCCAGCCTTAAGCAGTGGTCGAGAGTCAGCAAGTAATCATAAAAGTTTGATGGTGAACTGTTGCCCCGACACTGAACTTCATCTACACGTTCATTTTGCATTTCACAGAATTATCATGTATTTTTGTTTTCCTTTTCCACTTTAGTGTAGAGTTTTCAGTCGCACATCAGAGGCCTGAAGTGATGCTGACTTCAGTATCAAAAACACATCCACCCAAAGCTGTCCAGGGAACGTTAACGTCACATTTTGAAGCACATAAAGGTCTGGTCCAATTATGCCGTTAGATGCCAAAAACTGAACATGTATTAAAAATAATAATAATACTAATAAAAAATAATAAAAAAAAAAAAAAAAAAACAGATAAATGAACGCAGCTTGCATAAGGTTGTATATTATCCACACTTACCCCATTGTTGTGGTTGAAATGAAAGGCGACACCTGATCACTGATCGCTTCTCGCTGGAATTAAAAAGCGAATGTGCTGGATGGGCTGCTGCGTATGAAGGGTTTTTTTTTCTTTTTCTTTTCCCCCCTCTCTCTCTCTCTTTCTCTCTCTCTCTCTCTCTTTTTCTCTCTACACGACAGTCTGCAACGAATCACCGTCGGTGCGTCTACAGGAATGCGTTGACAGCTGCTCCATTCCCCCCTCTTCCCGTGTCACCGCATGAATTCACGCATACATGTCGTGGTGCACATGGCCCGCTGGTCAGACGTCCTCCTCCTCTGGTCGCCTGGTGACGGAGCAGCGGCAGAACGAGCGGCAGCGCGGGGCTGGATCCGGCGCAGATGATGCTGCTGCTGCTGCTGGTGATGATGATGATGATGATGGGGATGGAGAAGATCCCACGGACGCCCCTCTGTTGCCGTGTAAATTACAGATCCTCGCTGGAAGGGCGGAGAAGCCCTGCTGCTGCTCAAACTGGGAAAAGACGATCCTCATTCAGCAAGAAGACAGCGCGCAGCATCACCGTCTACGGCAGCCCCCACTCCCTCTTCCTCTCCCTCTCAGCCTATTACCACAGGCTCGCGGGCTACACCCCCCACTCCTGCGCGTCCACGCCGCAGCTACTTCACGCACGCGTTATTTAAAGTTGCCTCCTGCCGTTCTCTGCAACATCAGTTCACGCCTTCCCCCCACCTTCCACTGGAACACGAGTGAAGCCTGTGTTCAATTATCCTGCAGTGTGTTACTGATCCAAGCCCAACAATCCACGGAGCCCCAATTTGCACCCCGCATCCCTCCCCCCCCCAAAAGAGAAAAAAGCCCCACATCTGGGTGATGCATCCGCTTCCCTCCCACTGTCGACGTCACCACACCATCCTCCGCAGTGACGTTTCTCCGTGCTCAAGGGACTGATGCCGTTCGACGCCTGTTGTTGTTTAAAATAAGTTTTGTCGAGGTGAAATGGGCTCACCGGGGCTGTCAGAATGAAAGATGCTGAACAACACGACCGAGGAGGCAGTGGAGTGGTCTGAAAGATCAGGATCACTCCAGGCTTGTGTTTTGATCATTTTTTAAAAATCTTCCAGCGCAGAGAGATGATGATTGGATTGAAATGACAATTTATATAGTTTTTTTATTTTGCAAAGTGCCTTCAGATGATGTGTTGTGAAATGATACTTTATAAAAAAGTGTCATTTTTTTATAAACTTATAAAAAAATTCAAAAACAGTTTGAAATAAAACAAAAGTGGCAAACGTTTTGGCATTAGAGCAAAGATTGAGGCAACAAAATTGTATTGTAATATAGGCTAGATGCTATTTTTCAAAAATGTAACATTTTTAAAGATGCATTTTTTCTACTTTTTAAACTTTTTCTCTATTATTAAAAAAAACACTGTTTCCTGCAATTTCCTCAAAAATGTTGCTTTTCTCTTGTTGCGAAGCTGTTTGTCACCTTTTGAGCTAAACTTTTCCTCACTGCCTTAGTAAATACATATTTTTGTTCAATAGTAACAACAGTGGGGAAGTGTAAAAGAAAACGGTTCTTTCTCCTTCAGATCTCACCCAAGCACATCATTAAAAAAAGACACAAAAAACCCCCAAAACAAAACAAAAGATGTACCTTTATATCATTATAATACCTAATTTATCTGTCAAATGATCAAAAATGAAACATCCTTTTTCTTCTGGGTCACCAATAATCTCATGGTTTAACACATAATTTTAGGAATTGAATGTGGCCAATATCAAACTCCTATTTATTGAACTGGTGAAGAAAAACAATAATTGGTCATGTCCAGGATACATGATGAGCTTTTCAGTGGAAGAACTTTCTGAAGTGTGGGAGGGAGGAGGAGATGTAAAACTGGATTTTCTGGTCATTAAAATGGAGGAGAGATGCGCTGACAGCAGCCATGGTGATTTTACTGAACTTATCTGATTTACGGACAACATGCAAATCAAACTGATTTGTATATTTTCAGAATACCTCTCTAGCACCGCAAGCAATATGTTAAAGGGTATGTAAAAAGGATTGCGTGAGTTATATCAGCGGCAGCAAGCGGGAGCACACAGGCTGCAGATTAATTTGACCATATCCACTAACTTTCTGTCCCAACTTGGAAAGGGTCAACAACAACAACCAATCAGTACAGATTATGTAGTACTTATGTACTTTTTGTTTCTAATATTGCAGCCTTTCGTGATCCTCTGAGTAAATGTTAGATGGGTAGTAATAAGAAAATTCCACTGGATGTCTGCAATAAAATCAAAACGTTCAGCATATAAAATAATAACAAGGAGCTCTGAGACAAACCAGGCACATAACAATCACTCCGTGTTTGTTAAATGTCTGCCAAAAGGAAAATAAAAGATTTCCATATTTTGGTGCTGCTTTAGAATGAATTTGTCCAACTCCAAGCTTTTTTGTTTATTTCTTTAAAAATTCTTTTTTGGATTTACCATGTATTATATATATATTTTTAAAAACATTTCAATAGAACTGAAATATTGTTTATAAAAATAAAAAGATTTACATTGAGACCAAATTTTCTGGTAGGCTAATAATAATACAAAAATATTGTACAGCTATTAAAAATGCCAGTGATTCTCAAGCCATTGCAACAATAAATAAATACATAAATATATATATATATATATATATATATATATATAAAGCTGCTCAACACCTCTGAAAAATAATATTAAAAGCCAACTATTTATGGAAGCAGAAGTTTAAATAAATAAAAAGGGACCAATTAAGAAACATAGCTGGTCAATGGCTGATCCCTCATGATCTGCTTAGAAGAATATTTCTGGCTCTTGGGCGCATTTTATTGAAGATGCATCTTAAATCCCAATACCTTTTACCCCTCTCTGTTTAGTTGTCAAATGTTTTTCTATCAAAATAAACACACGTCTCCTTTAAATCCATTTCAGTTACGTCACGAGATGAACGCGGAAGTTCTTAAGCTGGGACACTCAGATTTGTTTACATGTGATCTGGAATTTCGGTAAGTGTTACAGGAAGTATGAATGTGGAAAACGAAATGTTTTCAAACATTTAGTGGCAGGTTAGTTTTGACGCGATCCTCGCCTAAATCTCATTCAGTTCTTTTGCTAAATGGTGGTTAACTTTAGCCAGTTAGCTTCATAAACAGGCACTGAGAGTTTCGGTTTCCTAGGTATCATATCTTCCTGCTTTCCGAGAGTTTGCTGTAGTTAGACATGTTCGGGCTTTTCCTCAGCCTCAGTTGATTCCGTTGGATGTATTTTTTTAATATCAATATATATATATCTCTTAAACTTCAGCAAAGTTGATGTTAGAGCTTAGTGGAGCTCGTCGGCATGTTTCACCGCAACAAGATTCTCGCGCGGCGGGGAGCCTCCAATAATACGCCGTACCCTCCACCACGAGCCCCCTGGTATTCTGACTACCAACACGGAGAACCTGAAGCTGCTAACAGGTGAGCCCAATGGAGGTAAACGACGAACAGACTCACAGTGCAATTGTTTAATCAATGTTGTCTAAATCATCCAGTCAAGTTCCCATTTCCTTCAGTACCTGTGTTTGTCTATAGGTTACAGATGGCAAACGGATAGCTGCCCGTATTTAGCCTCGTTATGTTTGTATGTTTACCCATCACTTGTTCACAGTCTTCAAACAGGGGTCTTTACTAGCACACACATCCATCTATGGATGTGACTCACTGTCTGTGTGTTTGTCTTGATTTGCACCAGAGAGCCTAAAACAACCAACAAGACAAAAAAAAAAAGTGACACTTTCACTAATCCCTCTCATATACAGTATAAAAAAATTGATTACTTGCTTGATATTTTACCCTCTGAATAATAATTTAACCATTCTCTTTTTTTCAGCGTTCTGCAGTTGCCTCCTTATGTGTGGCAGCCTTCGCCGCCCACCTTTGTAGCTCTTCCTCCGGCCCCAGCTGGTGTAATCCACGGGCGCAAGTAAGTGTTCTTTGTTTGGAACCGAATGACCTCTGCCCAAGCTGACCTCTGCTTCTTGCAGGAGGCACCATGAGTACGGTGCTCATGCTGTGAAACGCCAACGCCTCAACCCGTCGCCGGCCTCCTCTCCAAGATGGATTCCTCATAATAACCTGAGAGTGGGAGAGCCCTCAATGTTCGCCCCGGTGGGGTTTGAACACTTACATTCCAGTCCGTCGATCACGGAGGTGCTCACCGAACCACAAAACCTAACGAGCCTTCAGGTCTTCGTCAAGGACAAGGTAGTCCTGATCTTTGTAAAGTCTGGAGATGTTGCCATTAAGAAATGATTAGTTTCAGTTAGTGTTGAATGTGTTTGTGCGACCAGCTGAGTGGTCAGATGGTGGAGCTGTTTGAGGCCTGCCAGCAACAAACTTCAGATCTGGACAGGAAGGAGGCGTGTCGAGCTCGGCTACAAGGAGACATCCGGAAACAATTTCCAGGTTTGGTACAAATGCATTTAAATGTCCTCTTACTTTGTCGTTGTCTTTTATTTTATTTTTTTTCATTACGTGTGTTTGTGTCAGGGTCGCGGCTGTACCTGACCGGATCTTCTATGAGTGGACTGGGTTGCCGGAGCAGCGATGCCGACCTCTGTCTTGTGATTACAGGAAATGTACGTTTGCATCAACCTTGCGTTGTTTGTTTTGATCCAAATGACAAATAATTTCCTGCTTCAGAGATGCCCCCATCCAATGGATGTCCTTCGTCAACTCCAAAAGGATTTCAGATCACTCTGTAAGGCAATATAATTTTACATTTTGTTCTAAAACCATCTTGTCTTTCTTCTGTAATCTTTTAATTTTACTGTATCTACTGTATTTCTTCAGTGCCTTGCCAAAATATTCACCCCACTTGAACTTTTTCAAATTTGATAAGGTTACATGCTCAAGACCTTCTGTGAGATTGACCATAAAGTATTGAATGGATCTGCTGTGGAATTCAAAATGTTTTACAAATAAAATATGAAATGTCTTCATTCTTGTATTCACTATTCCTAGTGATCCATCTATCAATCTGAGATATTTTAAATGTTAGTTTTGCATTAATGACCACTAGGAGGAGCTGTTCACCTAGTTTAAAGTTTTTTGAGGTTCTCAAAATCAGCATTTGTAAGTCTCATAACCTCTGTTTTGATGTATAGCATATTTGGCGAGGATTCAGCTGATTAAAGCTAAAGTTCCCATCCTCAAGTTCAAAGAGAGAAGCAGGTAGGAGCTGTAAGTTACTTGCTTGTGTTTGCGTCACGGTTTGATCCTGTATGAGTTTATGTCCATCCTAATCCTTCCCACCTTAGTTTTCTGGAGTTCGACCTGAATGTCAACAACACGGTGGGCATCAGAAACACATTCCTGCTGAGAACCTACGCTTATGGTGGGTGAAGTGGTCAGCCATGCCTTTTACCTGTAGCAGGCAATGTGACTGGGAAAGAGTCGCTTGGCTAACTGTGTCCATGTTGACCCCTTCAGCCGATGTCAGGGTTAGGCCCCTGGTCCTGGTGGTGAAGAAGTGGGCGCGGCATTACCACATCAACGACGCCAGCAAAGGAACGCTGAGCAGCTACACACTGGTGTTGATGGTGCTTCACTATCTCCAGAGTCAGTGCAGAAAAAGCCGACGTTTACTTTGTCTGTTCAGATGTAAGGCCTGTCTTAACTTCTACAACATCCTGTTTTCTCACCAGCTCTTGAACCACCTGTCCTTCCATCTTTTCAAAAGACTCAGCCTGTAAGTTTGAACTGCTTATTTGTCAGCTTTTGAGTCTAGTAAACTGAAATTAAGTCATATAAATGTATCTACATCAGTGGGTTATGGCTAGGTTTTAACTGTGACCCTCTTGTCCTGCGTCCTGATCTTTAGGAGTGTTTTGATCCATTCATGGACATAGACGAGGTTCCAGATGGACCCAAACACATCCGGGTCTTCACCTCAACGAACCAGTCGTCTCTGGGCGAGCTGCTGCTGGGCTTCCTCAGATACTACGCCACACGGTTCAGGTATCGGAGCTGAAGTGAGGCTCATGGACCCGTGCTCATTTTCTCGCTCCCGTTCCTCATCCTCATCTCTCCCTGCCAACTTTTTCCTCCCCTCTCGACTCTTCCGTCTGTCCTCACCTTCCTGCATCCTCCTCTCTGGTTTTATGTTTCTGGCTGAGGGGCAGCAGCAGGTGCGACCTTTGGCCTTATGCAGCACTAACATGACATACGTGATCCGTGTATTTGCAGAATGTGCCAAGCCAGGTTTGAAAAGTTGAACTAAAAACCTGCTGCATGACCACACATTGATTGATATTTATACAGGATCAGAACAAACCATATAATAATTTTCTGTAACCTCCTTTAAAGATGTACAAAAAAAGCAACTTTAAAATAAAAGTTCATACTGAAAGACTTGGAAAATCCTCCTTTAATTTGAGGGCATTCATTACTTTGCGTAAAGACCCAGTGTTAAAATAAAAAAAAATATTTTTGACGTCAGTAACATTGATGTTAGTACTTCACACACCCTCTGTTACCAGCAGGATGGTACTTGGTCTTTTCCTTTAACTTTTGCCATTATTCTCTCTCGATCAACCAGTCCTGCATCGTCTCTTCTGTTTTCTTTTCCTCAGCTTTCTACAGGATTTAGGTCGGAGCCCTACAGTCTAGGATTCTCATTAGAGAAGGTTCATTTTGTATCTAAGGAACTACTTCTGTGCTGATTTGTTTTTATCAGTTTTATTCTCATTTAACCAAAGCACAAAGCTCGAGTTAAAGTTATGCAGGCTTGCAATCCAGTGTTTGGCATGTGAACAAGGCCTCTTTGCTACACTTTTCTAACAGTGGGCGGTGGGAATTTTTATTTATTTTGAAATTTATTTTTTAAATAATTTTCTCCACATACTTGAGTCCTAAACTGGCCTTGTTTGTCACAGTTTCGGTTATTTTAAGCTTTTAAATTAATTGAGAATATATTTTCCGTACCCATTTCCTGACTCAACGAACATTTTCCTTACTCGAACAGCACATTCCCTTTTCTTTCCAACCTTTAAGAGTGGTTAAAAGAAAAAGACCTCTTTGTCCTTTCATATTCACACATAAAGTTATGGAGTCCAGAAACTCTGATCTGCTCAACATGTAGGCTGAATTTAACAAAATGGTTCAATAACATTTATTTTGTGAAAGCAAAAAGGCATTTCTTTCTTAACGTCAATTATTTTCCCTAATGGACAAGTTTACTCAAAGGCTGGGTTTTCAAGGCTTTTCAGTGTGAGATCATTCTGCTGAAATAGAAGATTAAGTATGGCGCATGGCACGTTTTTAATTTTTATGCAAGTGGAAGAAGCTCATGTGAACCGTCTGCAGAGCTTGTAGTCTGCTAACCGATGCTGGATGATGGCGACTGTGCCAGATCGGCTCTAACAGCTGCCGTGTTGTGATTTGATGTGTTGCAGTTGGGACAAGCAGGTGATCTCTGTGCGCCAGGCCACAACTTTGCCCAAGAGCAATTCTAAAGAGTGGAGAAACAAATTCATATGTGTGGAAGGTAAACATTTATATGGCCGCACCGTACTGCGGGCCTCACGACTACAGATGAATTTCAAACCTAACATTTTATTTCTGATGCTTTGCAGGCAAAAATGCAACTAAAGTTAAAATCCCCAAATTTCTAGGTCTTTTTGCTATGCAGACAGAACTGAACTCTAGAAACATTCTGCCAATTTTATGGTTGTTTATTTATTTATAGGTTAAACATTTCAATTAATTAGAATAACATCAAAAAGTAAATCTTATTGCAGCACTTTACTTTTTGTTTGTTTCAAAAGTAAAATTCTATTGTTTTATCCACATTTATCATACACAGAATCTCCTGGTTTCATATTTATAAGTGAAGAAAACCCAAAATTTGGTTTCTCAGAAATTACTGGATAACATTTGATCAAATGCTTTTCGGACACAGAAATCTTAAATTATGGCCTAAACAATCACGAAGAAGACTACTGACTTGACAGTTGTGAAGAAGAGCGACATGTCATGTCATTGCATAAAATGGCTATTTATAATGTAGTATCTAAGCAAATTAATAGAAAGTTATGTGGAGGAAAAACATTTGTTTTGCCTTAGATGAAAACTGAAATTAGTTTGGTTGGAATAAAGGAACCTTTAGATAATGATTTATTGCAATAAACCTATAGTTTAATAAATAGTCAAATAAAGAAAAGAGATTTATCGACATTTATGCATGTTACTTGTGTCTCTGAACATTATCAATTTCTTTTTTGTTGAAGTCCATTAAACTGCAGTATGACATTTTATTGTGTATTTTAATTACCAGGCATTTATGAATGGAATAAAAAAAATCTTGATTATTTAGATCAGTCAGAGCTGACTCAACAGAAACGAAGTGGCCCAGATTAGAAACATTGCAAAGAATCCAACATGTGTCTACTGAAGCATCAACATGAGATCTGTTTTTTATATGAAGAGCAAATCTTTCTGTTTCAGAGCCTTTTGAGGGGAGTAATGTTGCCAGAGCCGTCCATGAGAAGATTAAGTTTGATGCCATTAAAAAGTGCTTTTTTGAGGTAGACAACATTCATCAGGACTCCTTAAATTGTTTTCTGTTCTTAAACACGTCCCTGATCTTCTCTCCTCTGTCTCCATGCCTACGCAGTCGTACCGGATACTGAACGAGAGGAAGGACCTGGTCTCCATCCTGGCGTTGAGAGCCATCATCAATGAGGAGTTGGCGACAAGATGAGCTGACTGGCCTTTCGATGAAAAACATCGGAGTTGTACAGAGGAAAGTTTCAGCGGCTCAGACTCAGAGGAGAGGAGGACTGAATGCGGTTGAATGTTTTTGCCGCCACCTTTGTGCAATTTCTGATGGTACTGTTATCACTGCAAAAAGAAAATAGACATTGAGTGAAGGTAAACCAGAACACATCCAGTGGCTGAAAATGGAGAATCAGAGCAAGATACAATTTTTTTACATACATATAGCTGCTACTTTTTTGCTTTCCTGGATGCAAATGATATTTTCTCTCATTTAAGAAGGACTTAAGTGGAAGTGGCAGTATTTAGGTTTAACATTGTCTTCTCTTCTGAGCTTATCCTCTTTTTGCAGCTGTTCTCAACATCATCCTTCTGAAGACAATTAATTTGAATCTGCGTTATGCTGACGATTTCTATAACTTAATGATGTCGAAGCCTTTTTTTTTCTATTTTTATAAGTCAACGTTGACATCATGTTTTTTCTTTTCTCCTGCTGCATGAAGCTCTTCTCTGATGTTTGAGATAAAGCGACCACAAAGAGCTCATGATTGAAACTGTTCTCCTGGATTTTACAGTCGTTAAGATCGTCCCTCCTCGTGTCTTCTCTTCCAGCTGTCGTCACGGGTTTGAGTCTCAGATACTTTCTAGATTTATTTGGGAAAACACACCAGTTTACATTTTAAAGAATTTGAAAATATTTGTATTTTTTGCTGTTTGCTTTTCTTCTTGCTTTTGATTTCCATTTTTCTGGAAGTCAAAAGCAAAAGCACATGTGTGCGTGGTAGAGTTTTATTGTTTATTAAAAAAAAACAAAAAAAAAAAAACAAAGAATCTCCCAGGACATATAAATATTTTTTTGGTATCAACTAAAGCTATGCTAGTAGAAGTGCCAAAAACAATTTGATACATTTGTGTATTTCACCAACTACATGGATGATGATGCAAAGTTGCTCAGTCTGGTTTCCACAAAATGGGATGACTATATATAAAGACAAAATAAACAAATATATTATTACAGGGATAAGACAAAGTGTTTTTATTACCTTCTCAACCACAGCTCCAGACTGCATGGGGACATCTTAACAAAACCAGGCTACTACACACACAATTTAGAGATATTTATAGATAGAATTTGATGATGACCAGGTAATTTAATGGAAACATTGCAGCTATGCTAGCCTACAATGTGCCATGAAAATGTATTTTTCTACTTTTGGGCAACACTTAGACATTGTAGATCTTTAAATGCATGTTGATATCTGACAAATATAATGGTAAATGCACGAAACGGTTTCAGATGATTTGCATTTTTACAAGTCTCCCCAATCTAGCAGTTGTGGTAACTCTCAAAAATGTCTTATAGAATAGAATATAAATACCCTTTATTGTCCACAGAGGGGAACTTGACCGGCAATCAAAACATGTAGATTTCCTAACTGTCATAAGCTGATGTCCATATTTCTCCTCCAGGTTTTTCTTTTAAGGTACCAAGTTCATCGTTCCATCTGCTACAGGTCAGTCATGTTTTGTCTGAATATTTCAATATAAATGTAAGAGGAACCTTTATGTTCTCTTTGATCACCATTGGGTGATCAAAGTTTGGCTCTGATCACCCAAAGTGTTGATGTGCAAAGCACATCAACACTGCTCTTAATTTAGGCCAGAGGTGCTTTAGATATTTTTTGAAGTTCTTTTGTAATATCCTGGGGAAGTTGTGGACGCTCTCTTGGGGAGCTTGATAACCCAGCAACTCTCAACTGGATACTATAAGTATCAACTGGTCTAAATTCCAATAAAATGCACCAAAGTTTGTCACTGTAACTTGACAAAAGGTGAACAATTTAAAGAGTTATGAATACTTTTGCATGGTGTAGTAAAGGCTCTGAGAAAAGGTTATCTTATGAGTCATTGTGGAGTTAGTTCACGTAGTTAGTTGATTGTTTCTACCTATGGTGGTTTGACAGCTTATTAAGCCTAATTTTATGACTCCAGCATAGTGCCAGCAATGGTGGCAGATATGTTACAAAGCATGTGTCTGATTTTGAGAAGTGCCCCATCTCACCAGCAGCAAGGGGACCAGAGGTACAGTTTCAGCACAAGGCCTATTTATAACTTGGCAAACGGGGGTTTTAAATTTAAAGCTACATTACCTCTGTTGGCCATGAGCCACTGGACCTCACAAGGGTGCAGCGTCATAAAAGACTTCTTCCATCAGAAAATCTGGGACTTTGTTTCAGGCCACTTGCAGGTGTGCTTATATTATATTAACTAATTAATTACAGCCTTTCTTTATGTCTCCTTTGCCCCTCTCTTATCCACACTCCCCTGTTTTCATAGCCCACGCTATTTCTGTCCCTCCCTGAGTCAGAGACGAAGCTCACAATTTTGAATGACACTAACAGATAGGCCACCTCCCAATTCAGAGTAACTGTGGTCTAAAAGACACAAAAAAACAAACCTTAGAGGGCTTAAAGCAAAAAACCCAAAGAAAATTGCCAAAATGGAGGAATCTGAAAGTCTGGACTCTGAAATGACTGAGCTGCAGGAGTTTCAGGACGAAGCTCTCAGCCAGGATGATGAAGACGAAGTGGAAGAACTCCAGAACAGGTAGTTTTTCAGCCTGATTTACTTGCTGACAAACCTCACCAGTAGGTCACTTTGTTTTTTGTGTTGAGAGTTTTCTCCTATCTTTGCTGATGAAACACCAATGTTTTCAACTTTTTACACATTACCGACTTTTCCAAGGAAGAAAAATTTACAGAGCATTAAAACCTAAATACCCAAAGTCAGGTTCTCTTAATGATTTGGGGTGAGTCAGCAAAACTGACTCACCCCAATATTTCACCTTTCATTTATCATGCTTTGAATTGACCTTGCCTTGTCATAAATAATGGAAGACACTAGTATGTTGGGTGTATCTGAGAAAGCCAGGTATTTCTTCTCGAACATTACATGAATGACGTTTTGTGGACGTCACCTTACCGTAACCCAGCAAGGGGCGAGGTGTATTCATAGCCCAGGGGACAGCTCAGGGTGCAGGGTTTTTGGAGTATCACTCACTTTGGCAGCCTGCCTCTAGACATCTGACCCAACACGGCAGTTCTACAATGCTCGAGTAATCCTCTTAAGACGCAAAATTATGCGCTACCTAATTTTCACCTCATATTTGTCAAGCTGCAAGACATGAATTCAGGTCAGTGTTGTTCAAATGTGTTTTGATTTGATTCATTAGTTTGTTCTCTGCTCGGATTTCCAAGAGCAGAGCCAGAAAGATCTCCTCTTGCACTTAAATGGCACAAACAGCCTGCTCTCCTGCCTCTGACTCTTTCCGTTTCTCTCTTTTTCAAGTCTACGAGAAGTCATCCAGGACCAGTCCGTGAAGCCCAAACTCCAGTGCCTCATGGTGGACCCGTCGTTTTCCATGGTGACAGTTCAGAGTGAGGACAGTGGTATCGTTTGGGAGACGGCCTCCAGCCGTTGCTCTACACCCTGGGCATCAGAGGCGAGCTCCACGTCTGAGGCTTACAGCATGGAAGGCTCTGGAGGTGCAGGGAAGATCACCATTGTCTTTGATGAGGACAAAGTGGTCCGCAGGAGGACGAGGTCCGGGGGAAGAAGCAGCAGGTTGGGAGATTGGCTGAGCCGACCGGGTAGTTCAAGGTCAGCTTCGGCTTTGGGAGTAGAGAGACCGGAGATGGCAGAGGTTTCTCTCCCTAACATCAAAGAGGAGAAAACACCAACAGAGGAAGATTTGGAGGAGATAAAATCCAAAGATCAGCAGCTGTTCAGTTTGATATGTGAAGGATATGAGATTCTCAACATCAGAGTGCCGTCCAAACTTCCCACTGTGGATGAGGAGGAGACTACAGACCTGCAGGACAATTTGTCTTATCTAGACCAGACTCCAAAGATCAGGTCCAGAAACCAGCATGACTGGGCACATCACCGGGACCAGCTGGAAGCAGAGCAGACACCGGATCGTGCTGAGGTAAGTAGCTGAGATATTTTTATCTTCACTTTATTCATGCTGTAGATCTAAACATGAGGAAGTCTTCCTGGGTTTGAGTCATCTTAATCTCTCAATAGGCCTTAAAAGAAACTTCACAGCCATCGCAAGACAAACTGCTTGAATCCACAACGTCAGAGACAGACAGCATTGCTGACTTTGACTACATCGAAAAGTTCACCCTTTTGAATGTGGCGATACCTGGAGAGGAAGCTCCACAGCTACAGCAAGAGGAAGAGGAAGAGAAGTCGCCTGCAAAAGCCCAAACGAAGCAGCAAGAAACCTTAAAGGAGGCAACCGAGGACGGTGTCTCTGTATCAGAAGACTCTTTTGTGTTTGTCACAGATGCTGACATAGTTGGGGAACACCTGGATGAGGTCTTCTATGGAGAAGGACCTCCCATAGAGGCACTGAAGCAGAAGCAGGAAGGCATTGAAAGGATGAGATCAAGACGTGAGAGCCAGCGATCAATGATGGATGGTGGTTTGGTGTTGTTTGAAAGTGAAGAGACCACCCTTACTCCTATTTTTATCTCCCCTGGGCCCCCCAAGATCATTGACCCCATTCTCCTGGAGGAACCCACTGCCATGTCGTTCATGTACTCAGACCTCTATGAGGATGTTGTGGGGGAAAAGAGGAGTGATGAAGAGTACTCGGAGGCGGAGAGTGTGGCGTCTGAGAAATCCTACAAGAGGCGGCTGTCAGATTCAGATGAGGCGGATGGGTACCTGGAGAAGTTCAGGCTGAAAGATGAAACACCAGTGGTGGACGTTCAGTCAGAGTCATCAGAGGATAATGCTGGGGGGAGGATGATGTGGCCACAGAACAAGTTTGAAATGACAGGATGCTTAATCAGAGCAGCAAAAGATGAAGAAGAGGCAGAAATGATAAAAAGCGCTAAAGTGAAGACACAGAAGGGGTGTGAAATACTTCAAGAGAAAGAGGAACATCAAACAGAAACAGAAGGAAAACAATCATCATTGGTACTCCATGATGACGGTTTAGGGGAAATCCCAGAAGAGCCATGCCAGGAGTCTGAATCAGTGGATCAGAAGAAGAGTAAACAAGAGGAACAGGCAGCGGAGCCAAGCACAGAAAAATCTATCGAAACTCCCCAGATGGAGACAAAAGTGAGTGAAACCTCACAGGGCAGAGATGAGACAGTCACTGAGCAAAGTTTTACTGAAACAGAACCGCCATGTGAGCCACAAAGAGAGGCTGAAAACGTGTCAGGGCTTTCTGGGGTGACACCAGACACAACAGCATGCACTCTACCTGAGAGCAGAGACGATCCTCCAGCCAGCACTGAACCCACTGTACTGACAGAAACCACGGAAAGGAGTTTGTGTGAAGAAGGAGCCCCTGTTGTGTCAAAGACGGGGGCTGCTGATGAGAAATATCCACCTGAAGTAGCAGCTCAAGTGAAAGAAACTGGAGATGCAACACTCACCTCAACTGAACTCCTCACAGAATCAAAGGCACCCTCTGAAGTGTCTGTGCTTGAGGACAAAGAAGAGGTGTCTGCAGATGCGGCCCCTCTAGAAGTCATCACCGACTGCGACTGCGCAGTGCAAACAGTGGAGGAGGTGGTGGAGAAAGCAATGAATGACGAAGAGATCCAGACCCAAGTTAAGACTGATGTACAGGAGATCATAGAGGCAATACCACTTACTCCTGAGGCAGAAGACCATCTCAAGCCCCCAACAGAGGAATTTTCTGAGCAGAGTAAGCCTGCAGCTGTTGATCTGGAGTCGGGAGTTGAAACTGAGACTTCAGGGGAAATAACCCAACCTGCAAAGCCCAAAGAAACCAACAAACATCACCAGACGGAGCAAGAAAACACAACTGACTGTGAACCAGACAACCTGCAACAAACAGCAGAATCCACAACCAGATTGTCCGGAGAGGACTTAGGGACCCGTGTGCAGGACGTAGTGAATATAGGTGATGAGTTAATCCTCCTTGTTCCCAAAGGACAGGCTGTGGAGATGGACATACAGATTGATCAGTGGTCAGAGGACATTATTAAAGAC